TAAAACTAAAACTGAATAGAACAGAAATTATTGTATAGCACCAACCTGTTCAGTCGCTCCTTCAATTGACCAACCACCTTCCAGATCTGACACTCTGACAGCCAAGTTTCCACTATTCCAGAAAAACTGCAAGTTTCTGGAGACGTCCAACATCTTTGGCTCAGCGTTTTCCTCGTTTTTGAGAATATACTGTGCAGAGATAACAATTGTAAGTACGAAAAGTTATACATTCAATCAGAGACGTTGGGTAACAATAAACTGACTTCATGAACCTCCTACACGTCACTGAATATTGCTAGACTGAGTCTATCCGAACACTCGGAACCGGCTTGCCGAGGTTATTTACATCGCTGGTTTACAGATATCCGTGTGTACGGCAGTTATAAGGCAGGGAGTCACGAGCCGTTTATAAGCGTGGTTAAACTATGAATGGTTTGCGCGTGTATGTCACAACTTGACCACTAAAATATTTTAGTGAATCCTGATCGCACTTTCATAACTGACAACGATGTTTCATCCTTAAAAAACTGTTTCGTGGTTTGCAACTTCGATGCAACATCAAAGGAAGCATTGACTCGCACATAAGCACAAATAAAGCAATAAAGCGTGCAATATTTTCCTTATTGTTTTTACCAGTACATACCTCTTCACCGTTTTTTCCGTCGTTCCAAACATAGACCCGAAATTCATACTGAGGACATCGCCTGTCAAGGAGGCCTCCAAAGGCACCGACTTTCAGCCGCTTACTGCTTGCGGGAGTGGGCGCGAAAACCGCAGAAGAGTTGTTGAAATGGTCGATCAGGACAGTTACCATTTCCTCTGTTACTAATGCAGAATTGCTATCCTCCCATTGCCTCTCTTGTGCGTCGTCATGACGCATTCTGACAACCAGCTTGTCACATCTTTGACCTTTCCAAACAGCGTGGTGAGGGAAGGACAGCACTACGCTCTCTTCAAATTTCAACCCTTTAGGGCCGCACTTGATAATTGGTGAAAGCGCGACCTCTGTCGGCTCAACCCCATCATTATGTGGTGCAGTAGTGTCTACATAGATGTAGACTTGCTGAGCAGAGCCTGGAGCTATTGCACCACGCGGGATGGTGAGGTGCACACCGTACTCGTCCAGGGACAAGCTTCCACCCTTCTCGTTGAAGTACCCCATGGCGATGTAGGGTAACTGGAGTCTGGTATGCAAACGCTCATTTGCTGAGAGATACTTTGTCCGCTTGTTGACTTCATCTAACACCAGTTGGAGATGGCTGGGCTTGCGTGACGTCTGGTGTTTTATGTCGCGGCCGGTCTTAAACTATTTACAACATAAAAATTGAAAATTTTATATTAATAAAATGATATTTGAAAGGGTTTAGTCACCATTTCATACAATCATTGTACCCAAAATTAGATAGTCACTTGGTTTTGCACTCAAAATAACTTCATCGGGAATAGCACTACAAAAAAGTTCTGATATCAGACATCAGTTATTAAAAAAAAAGAAGATACTGAAAGTGCTAACCAACTAAGTGTTCACCGTACCGAAGGTAAATTGTTAAACAAGTACCAAGTAAAACCCTCGTCGGTTCCACGAATCGTACAACTTCCGCAAATATTGCAATGCAGTGAGGCGTGATCTAATATACATTGTACGCATGCGTATCAGTGTCATCAAAACTGCAGGTAGTCCATAAAAACTCACTGTAAAAGCTGTGATACCCGCGTGGCATGGAAACAGTATAATACACCACGATAGAAGGGGCCTAGTAAACTGTCTACCCACCCATCAACCGACCAACATAAGCAGCTCAAGCCCACGGCGTGTTTCACACCGCCGTGAAAAAAAATGTGCTTATCCAGGGTTTGTTTGCCTGTAAAAAAAAAGAATTTTTGCCACGTTACTCCATTACAATCCTGATTTAGCTGCGTTTCTATCAGCGTCCTGGTTCTGCTTTTCAAATCCCTTGCCCTTTGCACTCTGCCACTCTGAACCACCCTCCCCCTGTTACGCTACTGTTAAAAAAAACCATGAACAAAATTGTCACATTTACTCTCATATTTGCTACTGGCCTTTGTCTTCACCAAGGGTGTTATATGCAGATGGAGAACCCATACATTATTGTTCAATAGGCACATAATTGAGCAATTATACGTTGATCGTAAAGACACCAATAAAATACCTTTGGTTTGGTTTGTGACGCCATCATTGAAGAAGTGCCTCCAGTAGTCCAGAATACATCACCGATGGGCCCATGCATTTTTGCTTTAATTAAAAAAACAGGGAAATGTGAGTTCTAAAATCAAAGTGTACTGTTAATTTTAACTTAATCTAAGACAACTAACAAAACGTAAGACAAACGCTTGAAAGTAGTGGCAAAAATACAATGTGGCAGACAAACACTTTTCTTAGGGGTCAATGGCTCTGCCAAGCATCCAGTCGCTAAGTGAGGCCGATGAGGTGGGATCTTTAGACATGCCGTCCGGCCTTATAATGTGCTGACAAACAAATTGATGAAAAATTCTTTCTCTTAAAAAAACCACATTCAAAAATAGTCAGTTTACTTTCATGATATAACGCTACTTTGAAGCGGATTATAGCCCAGCTAACTTTTCTTCAAACTGATGCTGCATCAACAGTTTGAACACAAATTAACTGTGTTTAGGCCTAAAGGGAGTATTTTGAAACCAAAAAGAAATTTAAATATTTACATGCACATCAGTTGTATCCAATTACACCCAATGAACGAAGGATCAAGTGAAGTATTCCAAGTAGAGACGAATAAAAGGACTGGAGCGAGTATAGATGTATAGAGTTTGGACAAGTTATTTCTCGTGTAGTATTAAAGCTACCCTGAGCGATATGGTTAGATATGTATCATCAATCTTTTTAACGGGCAAAAGTTCAGAAGAGGTGTGTAACTTTTTGAACTTGCGAAGGGAAAGGAAAGCAGCTTTAATTATGATGAATTCCAGTCTGCCTAAATAAATAATTATAAATTTGTTATTAAACATTCCCTAATGTTTAAAGCCATATTAAAAAATGACAGTAAAATAAGGCTGCATATTGTGCCTGTGTTGCGGGCAAAGTTAGTCCGCGCAAAGTTGGAATTCCTACTTTGTCCGGCTGGGCTATGTGTGTTGCAATACTGTCAGGCAAATTAGGAATACATCCAAAACTTACATATTGACAATTGTACGAAGTTTCCAAAGTACTTTAATGATTGGCCTGCGAACAGAAGCACAATGTGTCAGACAGCCAAACCGCCCATTGCTAATATTCCTTCATTGCACTGCTACTGACCCTAGCCAAAGTTTGAATTGACGTCACTAGATGTGATTGCTATAATAGATAAGGGGTCTTGCAAATTCGGAAGATTCACAGTGCAGTGCACCACCAAGAGTTTGCCACGGAGAGTTCATTTTTCCCAGTGCATTGTGGGAGATGGTCGACAAATTCACAGCTCGCGATATTTGAAATTGTTAGGTGTTTTTTTCCGGCCAGAAAAGTCGTAAGCGTATGATTCGAGTATGTGTTTGCCCTTTTCTTTCAATGTGGAGTTTTCTGTAAGGCGGCAAAACGCTTTGCCCTAATCTATAACAAACTAGCTCAAGTTTTTCACTGATAATCGTTCAAATGGGCCATGTTTTTTCGACAGTAAACTTGAAAACGAACTCTCTTTGGCAAACCCTTGGTGGCACACTGCATTTTGAATCGCCCGAATTATACCCATTGATATTATTCTTATATCGCACAACAACAGAACCTGAGCAAAGTGGGAATTTTGGTCAATTTGGATGTACCTATAGGTATGGGGTGTGGAAATGACACATGGGTAATATTCCCACATTGCGCTACTACCGAAGCTGGGCAAAGTGGGAATTTCGGGAATTTTTTGTTTAACTTTTCGCAGAAAACTGGGTGTTAAAATCACCCATGCGTAATATTTTCACACTGCGCTACTACCGAACCCGGGCAAAGAGGGAATTTCGTTTAATTTTGGATGTACTGTTCTACAGCAAATTACATTACAAATTTTCCGAAATTCCCATTTTACCTAGGTTCAATTGTAGGGAAATGTGGGAATGTTACCAATGGGTACTTTTAACAGCCCTTACGGATAGCAAATTACATCACAATTGCCCATAATTCCCACTTTGCCCAGATTTCGTAGTAGGGCAATGTGGTAATATTAACAATGGGTACTTCGAACAGCCCTCATGTATAGCACATTACACCAAAATTGCCGGTAATTCCCACTTTACCCAGGTTCAATAGTGGGGCAAGGTGGGAATGTGACCAATGGGTACTTTGAACAGACCCTATGTATAGCAAATTATATCACAAATGCCCGTAATTCCCACTTTACCCAGGTTGATTAGTGGGGCAATGTGGGAATATTACCAATGGGTACTTTGAACAACCGTTATGTGTAACAATTTACATCAAACTTGTCCGTAATTCCTACTTCGCCCAGGTTATATAGTATGGCAATGTGGCAGCCCTTTGAGCAGCCCTTATGTAAAGCAAATTACACCACAATCGCCCGTAATCCCCACTTTGCTCACTGTTCTAAAGTAGCGCAATGTGTAAATGTTACCCGTGGCTACTTTGAACAGCCCTTATCTATCAACATTTACCGAAATTCCCACTTTTCCCAGGTTCTGTAGTAGAGCACTGTGGGAATATTACCAATGGGTGCTCTGAACAGCCCTTATGTATTGCAAATTACATCAAAATTGAACGAAATGTTCACTCTGCCCAGGTTCTGTAGCAGGGCAATAAAGAAATAAATCCGATGAATATTTAAATACCTCCCTCTATCTGCAAAGGATTCATATGTGATTTAATGAAGAGTTATTGATGTTAATAGTACATACAGACAACATTCCCACTTTGCCGCGCATTGTTAGAATTCTCACTTTGCCCTGGGCAAATTCCGAATTTACCAAGATTCCCACTTTGCGCGTGACACATGTATACACATGTAATTGTACTCTTTTCGAAGATTTTACAAACCTTTGAGAGTCTCGACGGCAACCTTGGTTTCTTTCCCGGCCTCATGGATGCCAAGCGTCTTTTCCAGCGGCTCCTTGCCGAACTGTCCTCGTCCCGGCTCATTCTCGATCACCACGAGATTTCGCAGGCACGACAGATCAGGTGCAACGTTGCCATACACGTCATCTGTTGCCTCTGGTCTGGTGGCAGGCAGTGGGGAGCTGTCTTTATCTTGTTCACTGGGCAGAACTGGTTCTTCATATACTGCTTCCAGCCTTAGCTTGTTTTGAATTGTGTTGGCTTCCATGGTGGGTATGCCAGAGGACTCAATTAACTGATACGTGTACGTTGAAGCACTATGGGAAGGCATATTGTCTACGATTTTATCCAGTATAACCCTCTCACCGAGTGTCACGTTGGTAATTTTTGGTTTCTTAAGCTTTTTACACAGCTCGTTGCACCTGTGGTTCAAAAAGAACTTTACAATACCAAACTTCCCCAAATCAGCAGGACCATAGGCACCGAGTTCCGGGCCGCCGCTGAGAACCGCCGGGTCAGTGAACTTGTACCCGCTACTAGTGCGCACCCCTTGCAAATCGCAAACCAAAATCTCACCGTTGGATTCATGATAAGTGAAATGACTGAAGGCAGCCGGGGAGGCGAAATCTGCTCTGTCAGAGTAGCCAGTGTTGCTGTTAAATTTGACATACTGCCCCCCAAGGTACCTCTCGACAGCGAGGGTAGCTTTTGAGGGGATAATATTGGAAACGCTGTCGGAGGTACCACCAAATGTTCCTTTTATCTTTCGTTCAAATGGAAGGAAGCCCAGAAAATTGAACCCAGCACGGGTGTCAACTCGGGTGAATTCAGGTTTAACAAACTCGATTGGTTTGCTCGTTTGATACATGTTGTTAAACAACTGCGCCATCTCGTCAGCTTTGCGATAAGCACGGTCGTCCGCAACCCAGGCATATTCCGACAGGCGGTCATACCACTCTTCTTTGTAGACTTTCACTACGCAGCATTTTCCTTCCAAGTAGGGATCCCCGTGAAATGTACCCTTGTAGACATACCGGGAGGCCCCTTGAGCGAACCAGTCGTCCTCAAACTCCACCCACGTATATGTGTATCCGATCACTTCAGAGGTGTTGCTTTGGTTACTTCCCATATTGCAAAGGTTGGGATACGTCTGAAATGAGAACATTTGTAATAATGAACTGTAGACTTCAACAACGAATCTAAACAAGGTGTTTCAGAGTGAGAGAAAAGATTTCAATAAAGCAACAATGGTATAACAGTCTATATTTGTATCTTTTAGCGTTTTTTTTTCTTTACAGTTTAACAATTTGGAGAGCCTACTGTTAGGCAAAGAATTAGTGTTTGGATTGTATTGTAATTGTTTGTAATATTATTTAAAGCCGTCCCCTACATAACATATATTTCGTCAGTCAACTTCCTTGACTTCTTTCACGTATAGATATATGAAGTCCCGCGCACGACCAGCGCCACATTGTCCGAGGGATTATCGGCCCAACTATAAAACACAATGACCACGTATTCCGGGCCACACACGGATGATGCCTCACACGTGGGCTGCCAATTACAGGCCATTGTCGGAGGGATTATCGGCCCGCTACAAACCACAATGATCATTTAGCACCCACTAAGGGGCCATTCAGAATTTTCAATGTTTTAAAATGTCGACTTTTTTTCCAAATTATTTTGACTCACCCACCCACCCCTAATTTCGATTAATAAAAAACTGAACATGTACATGTACATGCACTTGCATGTACAATGTGTACATGTACATGTACGTGTACTTGAACATGTACATGTATACCCATGTACATGTACATGTGTGTCTAGTTCAGTGACGGCGTGAAGTTGTCGGTCTTCCCCCTTTGCAGTGGTAGCCTTTAGTCAAGTCCCACGCGCTTACCCGGACACGTGACGCACTCCGGATGCTGACACGTAAAAAGACTAGCAGGGGCGGCCGAGCCGTTCGTGCTAGTCTCTTTACATGCCAGAATCGGAATGCATTACGTGTCCGGATCACTGATCTCTATATAAAGACTGGATAGCTAATAAAGAGCCGCACAATGTACGAATTTGACGCCATATTGGTGAGACCGGCTGGTGATCTACAAAGGACAAGTTGCCGTATTTATAGACAGCTTGATTTCTTTTGTAACCGTCGCGGCTCACTTGACTTATATTGTGGCCACCACCACTGACCAACTGATGACAAAGGTTTACTACAATTTTTCTAACGTAGTGGTTACTTTTATAATGCCTCAAATCACTTTTTCGGCGTTTTTGAAGTAATAATCACTACGGAAATGTGTTCCTTTTAGAACATCATAATATGTGTACGTGACCTAAATGCGCGTCAACTGTTGATACAATGCGTGCGTATTTACGCGTACAACGGGGGGCGAATTGGTCAATATGCAAAGTCTACTGTGTGAATGTTGTATGCATATCCGCTATCCAGTCTTTATAATTATAGAGATCAGTGGTCCGGATGGTCCGGGTATATAGGCGCGTGGGACTTGACTAAAGGCTATTGCAGTTTTCTTGTGTTTTGCCAGCTGATATGCTGTTTGGAAAGACAGGTTGCCGTCTTGGAAGCCACACAGATGACCGTGGTTTTGTCATTTTCTGGATTAGCCCCATAAATGTGGCCAATTTACTGGACTGCCTCCGTAAATAATGGTTACACTGCCACCATGTACAAAAACATGTCGAACTTTGTCAAATTTTGATTTTCACATTTAGGCTTATAGTTTGTAGTTTATTTTTGCTTTAGAAGCATACTCACACCCTTTATAGGCTAATCAGAAAGTGCTGCCTTTTTCAGGTGTCGATTTTTCGTGAAATTTCCAGATTCGTTTGCACACGTTTGCGTATCAAAATTTCAACATGAAATATTACGAAAAATAGACATCTGAAAAAGGCAGCACTTTTTAATTAGCCTATAAAGGGGTGAGTATGCTTCTAAAGCAAAAATAAACTACAAACTAAGCCTAAATGTGAAAATCAAAATTTGACAAAGTTCGACATGTTTTTGTATATGGTGGCAGTGTGGCCTTTATTTACAGAGGCAGCCCAGTAATTTGGCCACATTTATGGGGCTATTTCTGGATGAGGTGGATTACATGTGACATCATTAGTACGAGGTTGTGCCTGTCACGTGAGGTAGCTGAGAAAAACATTCCCTCGTACCCCCTGCCCTGTTTGCCGGGCGGGGGTACGAGCGAAAGAAAAACATCAGGTTATTAGGGCAGTCATCACATCGCAGGCTGCGGTCCTCGTAGTCTTGGAGTCCAGTGGTTGAATAGTCCAGTTTTTATAGCGATTGGTAATCGACACCCGCGGCGTGTTATAGAGCCGATCTAGTACACCTGGTACCCTGCTGCCTCTGCACAGCCTAACCGCTAGAAACGCCCGGCATCCAAGTCTACTGAAAAACCACCTCCCTCTCATGCCACAGTGGGTCTATATACACGTACATGACGTACATGTACAGTACATGGGTCATTCCATGTCAGACCAACGCACTTTTTTACCTCATGTCTTCCGATTTTAATAAAAATTGCTGTGCTTGTAGGTCCTAATGAGCAATGAATACACACCAATTTTTAGCCCGATCCGACCTACCATGTGATCAGGGCAGAAGCCACAAAAAATGGCATTTTTAGAGTAAAATACCACCCTTTAGGTATAAATATGTCAAAACTATGGCAATTTTCATCGAATATATGTGAATTTGGTATTAAAATAATGAGGATTGCATGCTCAAATCACTTCTTTTGTCAAAATTAAATTTTGTGAAAAGTAGGTCACGTGACCTTTAATATGCTATCATGACCTTTGACCCAATTTTTGTAATGATGTATCGTTCTGAAAATCAACGAAATAAAAATAACTTGCTAGAGCATGTCTTCCTCTATCAGAATCTACTAAAATTCAGTTGGGGTCTTCAAAATTTACAACTTTATGACTGCTTTTGTACAGTTGGTAGGTTACAAATGAGTCAATTAATAGACTTTACATAAGAAATACACCAACACAACTTACTATTCTGTTTCTAAAGTTACTAAAATATATCTTGGTTTGTGAATTTCTCATTCTGAGGGCTGATGAGGTCTAACCAGACCCATAGTGTAAATTATCAGCAGTGGCGAACCCAGGATTTGGCTTTTGGTGGGGGGGGGGGGGGTCATACATCGTTTTTGTTCAAATTTCTGTAAAAGATTGGACCAACAAAAACTAGCCTAAAATTAAACAAACAAATTGACAATGTTGGGGGTGGGTTCAAGCCCCCCCCCCCTCCCTCCTTGGTGCCACTGATAATTAGTTATCCCACGAGCGCGCTTGGAATATGAAGTAATGCAATGCTGCTGTGACCCACATGCCACTCAATGCACTACATAATTCCGTGTTCCAAGTGGGATTTATAACCAATTTATCTTCAAGCAAACTTGATATCAAATGCGTACACGCGGTGAAGATGTACGTGCATACATGTAGTGTATTGGTCCGTTCTGCAGGAAATAACACAACATATGTACACGTACATTTTTAATATCTGGGGTGCAATATAGCTGTGCAATATTATATAAAATCACACAGTTGTTGCTATAGATCAGGGTCTAGGATTCAAGTTTGCTTGAAGATAATACTTAATATTACAATCAAAGTTACCTTTACTCATTCATCACTGTGCTTCTTGAACTTTAATGACTCTCACAGACTTGGCATTTTGTTCCTTTGAGATGAATTTCACCTGGACGTGAGTCCGCTGTACTGGGTGAAGGCCTGGTTACTGTTAGTGGTTAGCACACTTCTGAGTCCAGATATTCTGATTAGACAGTTTCTTTGGAATCAGAAGGGCCGGGTTATTTTGACCATCTCTCAGCCGGGGGGGGGGGAGGAGCCCCGAATTCTCGGCCATGGAGTGACGAAAAATTTTGAAACTCGGTACATGCATAGAGCAACTCTTCATGAACATCCCCAAGAAATTTCATGACCAAAGGTCAAAGGGTTTTGGAATTATGGCTAATTAATTATTCATATGTATGGAAAAACTAAATTTCAACCAACAACCCCTCGTCCGATTTTTATGTTTTGGGTGTCAAAAGATGCGCAAAGCGATTCCGCCCCCGGCCCTTTTAGGGTTAACATGTATTATGCCAAGTTTAATATGTAACATGCTATTATGCCTCGTTTAAGAACATGTAACAACCCCATGTTAAATTGCATTTAATTATGCCATGACTAATACGTGATTACACATGTCAATTAATATGTGGTTACACTTGTTAATTAACATATGCCATATAATTTGTTTACAACTGTGTGCGAAATCATATAAAACTGATTCAGTGTTAGGGTTACAATCTAGGTTGTATTTTAAAAGATTGTTATAAAACAGTCGCCCAACCAAGGTTGCAGAACTAACTCATGAGATATAAATACCATCAAAATATCGAAATACCAACTAGGGGGACCGCCAACATAGGGCTTGATTGCTTGGTTTGTGGAGCATCCCGCTTGCAAACCCCGCTTCTGTTAAAAATGTTACTATACACTAAGTCAATTTCCCATAGGGGATCACTAAAAGAACTTAAAACAACAAAGAACATGAACAATAAAAAAAAGAAGTCACAAGCACAGATTTGTGCAATATGACATGGACTATGTAAATTAGGACAGTGAAGGAATTCCAGAAAGCTTGTCCATGTAATAAACAAAACTATTTTGAGAAGTAAGGAAGGTTGTATTCATACTTTTGTTTCAAAGCCCACACAGGGATTTTAGCTTGGCAAATTTGTGTGCCAAACGCGGGTCATCGAATGTGTCTTCTGTATTCAATAGCCTATTTGCTGGTTATTCGACGTAAACTTACAGTAAAACGTTGTAGTAAGTAGTTGCTGTATCTTGATTGTTCTTAGAAATTGCAGTCGCATATTTGCCACAAGCCAGCTGTTGTAATGGAATGTGTCCGTTTTTGTGCGTGCCACATGTAGTGAATAAATATAGGTTTTCCCGTCCAATTTCGCACTTAGTGCATGCAAAAGTAAAGATAGGTCATTCAATTTCGCACATAGTGCATGAGAAAGTATAAATAGGTCATTCAATTTCACGGATAGGGCAGCCAAA